ATGTTTTTAAGTGAGAAAGGCCACCTGAAAGCTTAATAATTGCAGTCAGTTCATCCAGATTATCTATTTCTGTCGGAGGCGCTCAGACTCCCACATACCAGCGGTGCACCGACAGGAGAAATCCTTTCGTTCACCGCGGCTGCTGGCAGGTGTTTTTCATCTAAATAATTTTAGCTGCAGGCACCAGGATACCGGTAATAAAAGCGAACATATTCCGTCGGCAGGTTTCAGGATTTTAAGTTAATTTAGGAGTGATCACAGCGCTGTGTCATCTGCCATGTGTCTGTCTCACGGCCAGCTGCCAGGTTTGATTAATACTTTGTAATAAATACATGAATAAAGCACAATCATACTCAGTTTTGGGCCCGCTGTATTTTTAAATACGCAGTAGAGGTATTTAAAGGTAGTAGAGGACATGTACCTGTATATAGAAAACGCGCCCTATAGTCCGGTGCGCCTTATGTGTGTGTTAAATACAGAAATGGGACACATAACTGAGAGTGCGCCTTTTAGTCTGGTGCGCCTTATGGTCGTGAAAATACGGTAATAAAATTGAATATGGTTTGTTTAATCAGATCCAAAAGTTTTGTTTCTTCCTTCTGGTGTTTGTCTCATCCGTACACACCAGCACCAGCCATTTTTTCACGAGCTTGTGACAATCTATTTTTTAGTGTATCCAAATAAAAACCACGTTATGAAGTGTTTGGAGGGGGCCCCTCTAATTCCCCAAACACCCCATCTTCTCTCATTTTTTCAACCCATTCATCAAATTTTCTAATGTGGTGTTCTGCATCCTTCAATGGATAACTCGCCATGATCATATTTCTCCCTTTCTCAAGACTCGCTTTTAACGAGGTGTTTCTGGATTCAATTTCTAGTCCACATGCATCCATCTTTCACACCTTTCGTTCACACAGTGTATAAAATTAGACCTCGAGAAATTTAGAGAAAACAAAAAAAAAGATATAGAAAGAAGAAGAGAAAAGAAAAAAAAAATATATATATATAGTACCGCCTAGCTCACTCCACCAACTTTAGGATTAGACAAACAAGTTACCTAATCTGGGCATCAGCCTCTTCTAGTTTTATGGGGAATATCATTTTATCGTCTCTCTCTTTCCTTTTATAAGAGAAGAGAAGGAAAGAGAAAAACACCCCAAGAGTCAGTTTCAACTCGATCCGCTCGCTTTTATTTCTCCAGTCTCGGTTTTTCGTAAATGTCCTTATGGGAGGTATACTGGCAAACTCTAGCCGTAATGTGACTGGTATCCGTCGGTGCGTTTGTTTTTCAGAAATGCATCTTTTGTGTCTGCAGGCAGACCGGGAATAAAATCACAGTCCCTTTCTGCATGCAGAAACCGTTGGGCTCTCCAACCAACTTTTTCCTAGTGAGCAGTATAATTCTTGAAGGTGTTTGCGCAGGGGCCCTCCAGTCGGACTTTCAACCGCTACCCACAGCAGAACGCACGACTTACTTCCGCTCTCTCTCTCTTTTTTTTTTTTTATGTGTACATGTTCGCAATGTAAAAAAAAGGAAAACAACAAAACAAAAACAGCAAAAACAAAAACTAAATCACTCTGAGCAATTTCTCTGTCCTCTTTTGCATAAAAAGTTTCAGCTCACTTCAGAAAATCACAACACAGCCAAAGTGTTTTAACATTAAAAACACCGGAGATATTTTGTAATAAGGAATCTCCTCACCTTTTCAGTTGTTAGCGGCCGCAGGCTGTGGAGCTTTTTCCGTCGGTAGCGCTGTTGTTTTGCTTCCAGGTCACGGGCGGAAACACCAATTTGTTAAAGTGAGGAGGAGTTGTCCCCTTGGAAGGAAGGCTGTAGCGCCCCGGGGGCCTCCTCACTGGTTCTTTTCCTGGGAGCAAGTTATTTACTACTCTTAACTCAAACTGGGTAAAACCATATAAAAAAGGACTATAAAAACAGGAGTAAAAAAGTAACAGGGTTTATTCCAGATCAGGTCGTTACAGGACAGAGAAAAATGCTTAGAGCTTGCACAGCTGTGGTCTCAAAAATCACGTCCGCTAGCGTCCGGCAAAGTTTGAGCCCCGATGAAGGTCATCTCCTGCTTCTTATACCTTGTGAGTCTATATGTGTTGCATCAGGTGGATGCTTAGCTGTCCGTATCAGAAACTGACACGCCATCCATGCCCTGACCTGTATACAGCTTGCTTCTATGCCTCAGGGTTACAGATAGCCATCCTCTATCAGACCGGCTCCAAGATGTGCCCATATCCTGTGTACTCTTAAAGACACGAAGGCTGTCTTGATTAGATGACCTCCGTACACACCGTGACATCCACAATGTGAAGGAAGGCCTTCTGCTCTGTCTAATCTGACTAAGAAATTAACAGTGCACATGATGTATAAATAATAAAACCTAAAACTCATCATGTTCACCAATGACATAAAAAATAAAAATATGTTACCCAAGACTGAGTACGCTTATACAGATACAACCTGTGATAAAATATTTTTAGGAACAAACAAGAACATGTGCTTAAGTCAAGGGTGTAACTTTGTTATTAAAGTTGGTGGGGACACTCTTTGATATTTTGCTGAAAATCAGTGCAATGCCATACGTCTATTTAATGCTCTCCTATTGTTGAGAACGCAACTGTTACGAAACACCCTAATATTTATAATTACAGATAGAAAGACAGATACCTTTTAGTGCCACATTTATAAAGTGCTCTAAATCATCAATAACATTAATTTAAAAAAATTGATATATGCATAAATACAATTTCAAATAGGAAAACTATCCATCCATCCATTCTTTGCTGTATTAAGGAAAAATATGAAAAACTGAAAGGTACTAAAACTGCCAAAGACTGCAAATTATGATTCCAGACACATAGATGGCTTCCGTTTCATCTGTATCATTGGTTAATATCCCCCTTCACAAGCAGCAAAATCTAATTTAGAGTTTTTTCCCCCACACATATCTTTGACAAAGTCTGAATTGTCATGATTTTCTTAAGGGAACTGACCCACATGCAGTAAACCACTCAGAGAAACTAGAGTAAAAGTTTAACAGGTTTATTGAGGAGATGAACGGGATTGGATTCAGGAAACTCAGGATACAGGTGAACCGGAACTGGGAAGGGAAGTATCAGAGGTTAGTTCAGGGTCTGTGGGAACTTTGTACGATGACTTTGGAGAACCAGAGAAAACAGGACTCATGTTAGTTGAGAAAACTTTCTTCCCAGAATCCAGTCTTGTGTGGGTTAACCAGAGGGAGGAACTCGTTGGAGGGCGGACAGGTTTTGATTTGGTTGGTTCCTGAGGCACTATGGAGAGGACTGTCACTTGGAATCCAGGAGGTCTTGAACGGAAATTGTGGAGGTTAAACCCCTGCTGCAAACTGGATTCCTAACATGAATATTGAAGCTTTTATTTCAAATCACTGATTCACTAAATATCACTGTATTGTTTGTGCTTTGAATCTTGTAGGTTTCTTAAATTTTAATTTAAAGTCTTTCTCGACTGTGAGTCTGGCTCTGCAGCTGAGTTGGCTGGTACAGCTATTTCTGAGTCTTGGTGATGTGAAAAAGAGAAAAGAGCATTTTAAATATAACAAATGCAAATGTATTTTTATTTGTAACTGTGAGTCATTATGCTCTGAGTAGTTGAGCATAATTGCTTTTTTTAACTAGCAAAGAGGAACACCGCATTTAAATGCTTTGGCTGCACTTACAGAAATGCACATCAGCCTAAACCTAATTTACAGGAATAAATGATTTCTTATGTCAGTTCTGATTAATCCTGTTTGTTCTTACCTCAGATACTCATTAATGCAGCTATCTCTCAAATATACCTCTTATTTCAATATAATTTTACATTCTTACTGTTGCACTAGTATTAAACATGTTACAATTTTACGAAGGTTGCACTATTTTTGCAGAGTTTATTCAATTATTAATATAATTTTACTTTCTTGCACTAGTATTATACATGTTACTATTGTCACCCATTCCAGGTAGGCAATAAAAAGTTGTCCTGGATTCACTTTGTATTAGTCTTTTTCCTGCTTCACAAAGGTATCGGTATGGTATCGGTATCGGCCAATTCTGCACAGCCAGGTATCGGGTATTGGTATCGGGGCCAAAAAATGGCATCGGCGCAACACTAATTGTTACTAACATCTGGGGTCCGTTTCATGAAGCAGCTTTAACAAATTTAGATTCAAATCCGCAACAATATATTTACCTAGCCAAAAGTCGGGAACTCTGAGTGTTTGGTTTCACAATGGCTGCTATCAATTAGTTCAGTCAATTTTAAGTCCACTCAGAGTTAAGCGCATGCGCAACAAGTATGAGAAGCCATAATCAGTGGAGCACCGATTCGACAAGTCACCATCACAACAGGCAACAGGAAGTGCCTATTTTACCCCACTGGAACTAGAGATTTTAATGAAAAAATGCAAAAAAAATAAATAAAAAAGGAAAATGTGTTTAAAAGAAAGAGCAACATCGCTACAGCTACAAAGGAGAGGAAGATGGTGAAGGAGAAGATTGTTGCTCGAGTTAATGCGTAAACGTATGCGTTATATGAAGTGGGCAATGGCAGGCCATTTTTACATTTATTAAAAGCACTCTTCCTTGTTCTACACATATATAATCTACTACCATTTCTTGAGTGGTAGTAGATCAATGTTCTAATATATAGAACCTTTGCACCATCTCATGGGTCCCTCCTCATGTTGATTCAATCTTACTTTACACAGTAAATCAGCAGCTGTTTGCAGCCGCTCTTCGGATGTTATCATGCCAACAAATGGCCGTTATAAGCAGCTATCAGTCCAATGGAATGGCTTCAGATTGTGCCAGTAGGCTTATTAGGTTGTTATCATCTAGTGAATCCTCTCCCTATAAATATTTAATTCTCTGTGAAATAATGCTATAATGCTTCCTAAATCAGGAAATAAAACAATTTGATGGGCTGTTTGGAGAGCAGAGACAGAGGACACACCAAGTTGGAAAAGTTGCTCCCGACCAGGTTAGCTCTGAGGAGAATGTTAATACAGTGACTGAAACAGAGGTTGAGGAAACTGTCTTTGTGAACTGGAAAAGTCAGAGTTACACTGTTTTCAGTTTTAGACAACTTGGAGTTTTAAGTAAATCTGCATCATGAGAGGGACCCCTGGTGAAAATATCATGTCAACAGAACCTATAGCAATATAATTATTAAGAAAAACTGTGGCTTTCTCAATACTTATTTTAACTGCTGTAGACTGCACGTATCTTGCTTATCTCTGTTCAACACAAGGCTAACTCAAAATGCAGCTCTGTCTGGTTTCCAAATAAGGTAATGGCGGAAGTCATGCTACATCAGTTTGAGTGTTTGTTTAACTGCTTTGCAAGTCACCTTGTCAACAAAGGATGTAAACAGAGATAAGACAGCGGCTGAGTTACCCCATAAATCAGTGCCTCAAATATACAAAATGAACTGAAACTTAAAATAGAAATTAAACTTTTAAAAGACATTAATGCTCAGTATAACATAGAAATATATATTTTACAGAAATTGCTAAAGAAGGATGACTGCAATAAACGTGCAAAGTATAGTTATGCATAAAACCACCACCAGGCTATTAAAGCGATATTAAAAAATGATAGAGAGTGACCAAGTTGTTTTAAACAATTCCAGATGAATAGTCACAAAGGAGACCATTACAGTTTAGAGAACTGGAGCAAAGACGGATCAGGGTGAGTTGAGGATTCTATCTTCACATTGTCTCAACCTTGATGGAAGTTGACATTCTGTGGTCAGAGACAGCGGAGAAGCCTTTCTTTTACTTCCCATCCTCATCATGTTCACTAATGACAGGAAAAGAAAAAATATGTTACCCAAGACTGAGTACACTTATACAGATACAACCTGTGATAAAATATTTTTAGGAACAAACAAGAACATGTGCTTTAGTCAAGGGTGTAACTTTGTTATTAAAGTTGGTGGGGACACTCTTTGATATTTTGCTGAAAATTAGTGCAATGCCATACGTCTATTTAATGCTCTCCTATTGTTGAGAACGCAACTGTTACGAAACACCCTAATATTTATAATTACAGATAGAAAGACATATACCTTTTAGTGCCACATTTATAAAGTGCTCTAAATCATCAATAACATTAATAAAAAAAATCGATATATACATAAATACAATTTCAAATAGGAAAACTATCCATCCATCCATTCATTGCTGTATTAAGGAAAAATATGAAAAACTGAAAGGTACTAAAACTGCCAAAGACTGCAAATTATGATTCCAGACACATAGATGGCTTCCGTTTCATCTGTATCATTGATTAATATCCCCCTTCACAAGCAGCAAAATCTAACTTAGAGTTTTTTCCCCCACACATATCTTTGACAAAGTCTGAATTGTCATTATTTTCTTAAGGGAACTGACCCACATGCAGTAAACCACTCAGAGAAACTAGAGTAAAAGTTTAACAGGTTTATTGAGGAGATTCAGGAATCAGGAAACTCAGGGTACAGGTGAACCGGAACTGGATGTGGGAAGGGAAGTATCAGAGGTTAGTTCAGGGTCCGTGGGAACTTTGTACGATGACTTTGGAGAAACAGAGAAAACAGGACTCATGTTAGTTGAGAAAACTTTCTTCCCAGAATCAAGTCGTGTGTGAGTTAACCAGAAGGAGGAACTCGTTGGAGGGCGGACAGGTTTTGATTTGGTTGGTTCCTGAGGCACAATGGAGCGGACTGTCACTTGGAATCCAGGAGGTCTTAAACGGAAATTGTGGAGGTTACTGCTGCAAACTGGATTTCTAACATGAATATTGAAGCTTTTATTTCAAGAAGAACAACTTTTGGTCAGAACACTCTCTCTGTGAGAGCCACTAACATCTGGAACAGTCTTCCTCTACACATACGGGAGAGCCCTACACTGATCAGCTTCAAAGCCCAACTCAAACTACAGATGAGAACAAACCAGTCATGTAACCACTAAACTCTTAACATTTCCTTGTGATGGTTGTATTGTATGTTATGTTCTTTCTTATGTATTTGCCTGCCTAGGGACTACGGATGGAAACTAGCCTTGTAGCTATAATCCGGCATATTTACATTTGTTTTTATACTGATGTTCATTAATGTGCATTGTCCCTATTCAAATAAATAAATAAATAAATAAATAAATCACTGATTCACTGAATATCACTGTATTGTTTGTGCTTTGAATCTTGTAGGTTTCTTAAATTTTAATTTTAAGTCTTTCTCGACTGTGAGTCTTGCTCTGCAGCTGAGTTGGCTGGTACAGCTATTTCTGAGTCTTGGTGATGTACAAAAGAGAAGAGTGCATTTTAAATATAACAAATGCAAATTTATTTTTATTTGTAACTGTGAGTCATTATCCTCTGAGGAGTTGAACATAATTGCTTTTTTTAACTAGCAAAGAGGAACACCACATTTAAATGCTTTGCTGTGTCAAACTTATTGCCTCATAATACTAACCTGCAAAGCATAAACACACTGTTGCTGTTGATATTTTTTAAGCTGCGCATTTTTAAAACCTTTTTCTTTTCTTTTTTTTCATTAAATCAACCTGTCTCATAACTCTTAGTTCAAAATAAAACGTGAAGTAAATGCCAGTTTAAATTTACTGCTGGTGTGTGTTGTCTCTCCTCCGATCACTACAAAGTGCGCAGTAAATAGCCACCACCAATCATATAGGCAAATTTCTCAAAGTGACCGATCCAGAGCCATTAGAGTTAGGAGTCTTAAGGGCGAGTTATGCTCCTGCAGCAGTGTGTTGCAGTGAGCTTATTGTAGATATTTTTGATTTATGCCCAATATTGAAGCGTGGTCTGCGCTATGTTGACTGGACCAGACCGGGCATTCGAACCGAGCCATCACCTCGGGGCTGGTCCAGGTCCGGAGCCAGCCGAGGACGGAGCGACCAAACCCAACCCGGTGACGGTATGTTTCCCCCTGCATGGTAAGGCATAACTTTACAAAGGCTTAAAATGGAATAAAAATTAGTGTAGTACATAGATTTACAGTCATTGGGTCACATGACCTGGAAGCTATTGAAGAAAGGTCACTATTTAATCTTTAAACATATCTTAAAAATTGAAAATAGCTTAAAATTGCATAAAAGCAAGTGTGTCTTACATATGTTATCTATCGGCATGATTTTATATTAGTTTCGTCTTAGCTGGTCATAAGATAAGGAATTTATTGATTTTTGTTTCTCAAGACTGTTTGGTTCAAAGATTTGTTGAGGTTCCCTAACTGCAGCACCGTGTGTGGGAGGAGGGAGCAGCTGAGAGACACTGGCCAACATCGGAGTCCCTCAGTTGGATCAACCGTTTGCTAGATCCCGTTGACTCCACGGAGCTTAAATATTCAATATCCAACTTCAAACCAACTTCACCGCGGTGCTGACGGCTCTGTTCTTTGTCTGAGTCATTCATCAGGCAGTCTTTCTCTCCAGTCTGGCTCTATAAGTTCTGAAACTCAAGAGAAATGTGTTGCAAAATGTCTGTTTTGCAGCAGTTTGGTTCTGAAAGGTTCTAACTTATCCTTGATGGTCTTGGAGATCTGGTTCCCCTGGGGCCCACATCTCCACTGTGTTGGAGATCCAGCCGAGGCAGACCCCAGCTTTGAGCACAGGGGCAGAAGAGATCAGGAGCAGAGGCAAAAGAGGCAAAAGAGGAAGAATCCTGTGTGCTCTGTGGTTTTGTCTGTCTTCATAGAGAGGGGGGTAGGTTTTCACACCTGGTGGCTTCCTCGTGACTTGCCTGTGGAGGCTTTGCCTGAAACCGGGGTTGTTGCAGAGATTTCAACGCATCATCATGTCAAGATAAAATATGGACACTGGGTCCCAGTGTCCAAAAAGTATGATCATGGCATATGGCAAAACAACATAATAATTTAAAAGTATATATATATATATATATATATATATATATATATATGTGTGTATATGTGTATATGTATATATATTTTTTGAATGTCTTAATCAGGGTCATTGGGTGGGTGGGGTGGCGCCCTAGTGCCCTCTATTGACCAGCCGCCACTGGTAATCAAAATTTCATATAGGATAAACTAACATTAAAAAGATAATGTAAAAAAAACAACACAAAAAAAACACATGAATTATGACATAAACATAAATGGCTTCCTTGACATCCCTTTCAAACCACCTGTCCTCTTTGTCCAAATTGTGAACATTCTGGTCCTCAAACACATTTTAAAGCTACAGTGTGTAACTTTTAGCGACATCTAGCGGTCAGACTGCAGCAACATGAACATCTCCCCCCCACCGCGTCTCCCCCCCAACAGTACGGCGAGCGTTACGGGACAAAATGTCTTCCACGACGTCCGCATCACCTACCTTCTCAAGTGATGAGGTTTGTTTACATAGATAATTTTACAGATAGTTTTTCATTAGTCTGTGTAGGGTATAGATTTCATGTAGACTTAAGATAATAAATATACCCGTTATTTTTTCTACATTGTTGTGACGTTTTGGCGATCTCGCAATCGCTAGTTTGTTGGCTCTGCGCTGCCGTACCGCAAAGATGTCTGCCTCCATGGCTGCGAGACCCGCTCCTATGTAATTATAAATTACGAATTCTAAGGCAACGCAAATATTAAGGTTAAGAGGCTGAGCTCGTAGATGATGATAAATAACATAGTTATGTATAATATATTACATTTCTGACGGTATATCCCTGTAATTATTACACACTGTAGCTTTAAATTGTCATTAGAAAACTCCATAACACCTCTTTAATGTAAATACCAAAATTAATAAAAGTGGGGTTTTTTTTGCATACTATCGATTTACTTAAGAAAGAAAAACCAACCTTAAAAAGAGGGGGCGGACTCAGGTTTCAGCTCTCTAAAACCTGTAATGCACAATGACCCAAATGACTTACCTTTACAAAAGCCTGGCCCCGTATCGGGTCAACAACGACCTCAAAGACTTTAGCATTACTTCAGCCATTGTGAAAACAAAAATGAACAGCTGCCACCCTTAGGCTAGATCAGTTAATACCTGAGAATTTGAGTCTGAGTTTCTTAAACCTGCGTTATGAGACGGGGCTCGGTTCCGTTCACTGGCAGTGCTCTGTTAGCCAGAGAAATTATTTGTAACCAATCTGTTAAATGTTCTTATTTGTTTCTGGTTAAATCTCAGGTCTTTACTCTGTCCTGTCATTGTACTTATAGCCCATCCAGTTCAACAACCAACAACATTTACTTCACAGCTGTAGCTGATGGTGTCTTCCTGGCTTGATGTTGTTTTAATTTATACCCATATTATATTCCTCCTTATATAAAGGTGGTCCAACTGCTGACCAAACAAAAACACTATTTTGTCATCTGACTTTTTAAGCCTATATGCTCAACCTTATTTAAATACTGTCAAGTCCAGTTCTCAGCTAGAATATTCCAGAAATTATTTACCTCCAGCTTTCTTTCACAGATCCAATGGTATTTAGTGCCACATGCTGCGTCATTCCAGTTATTTTTATTATGAATAAACATAATCTCTCCACAGTCTTCTCCACCCATGGCATCGTTTGGCTCATTTTCATCCCAGAAACTGAAAAAAAAAATATATATTTACAAATAAGTTTAGAGACTTCATACATAAAACATGGCTTGCTGCTAAAGCTCCCTTTTATCCTAGACCTCTTTAGTTCATATAAGAGAACTGACTAACCAGTTTTTGTTCTAATGTCTGAGATGTTATGCAAAGCAAAATAATCAATTACTCGTTATTTTGAAAGACACCACAGTTTCTGACAAAATCTTCAATGATTAACCATTAAGATTTGTATTTCCAGCACGTCTAGACCATGACCAGGGTGGCAAGTTTGAAATCCTGTCAGCTGTCCACATATTGCAACATTGCAGAATCAAAAACTTCCCCATACCACCCTCATGGGAATGGTCACGTCGAACGTTTTCATCAGATTCAGATGCTCAAAACTCTCAACGATAAGAACAAGACTAACTGGAAAGACTCTCTGAATAAGCTCATCTTTCCCTACAACTGCACTGGGATAGAGGTGACAGGATTTTCCCTATTTTGTTTCCTATATTGTCGCTCCCCAAGATTGCCTATAGACACATTGTTCGGCCTACCAACAGAAACAGGAAGCAATGATTATCATGCTTATGTTGAGCAGTTGAAGGAAGGAATGCAGCAGGCGTGTACCATTGTACAAGAAAACATACAGAAATCTGCTCACAGAAACAAAAGAATCTACGATGTGAAAGTAAGCACAGGGTTGTTTCCAATTGACATGGTGTTAATAGGGACTTTAACACCTCATGGGGGTCCTAGCAAGCTCAGGAATTACTGGGACGACAGCATACATATAGTTCAGCAGGTGGGAAAAGATGTCCCTGTGTATGAATTGAGCTGAAACAATTAATCGGATTAATTTTGATTAATCGATTATCGAAATAATCGTTAACTCATTTAGCAGTGTTGGGCACGTTACTTTGAAAAAGTTATTAGTTATAGTTACTAGTTACTTCTCCCAAAAAGTAACTGAGTTACTCCACAATAAAAGTAACTAGTTACTAGTAAAAGTAACTATTGTCATGATGGGTACTCTAAGAGTGACCCAATTATGCAGAACACCACTAGACGGACACAGGAATAAAAGTTCAACAAGTTTATTTGGTCACAAGCACACTGATTATACTGGTTCTGGTTCGGGCCTGGATACTGGTTCACCGGAGTCTGTGTGAGAGACAGTTCAGTTAGCGTAGCACGTTGGAGCTTGCTTTCTTGATTGTTACTGATTGTACCTTGAGGGTTCTTGTGATTAGCTTTGGGAGGGTCACTGTTGGATCTGGAGAGGAGTTGATCAGCAGAGTCCGTTTGCTGCTTCAGCGTCTCACTTCTAGTTTTGAGCAGACCTTGGCTTTGGGTTTTCCAGCTCTTAGTCCTGAGCTGCATGGAAGTTCACTGAGGTTCTTCAGGTTTGGCTCTGAGGGTCGGCTCGGCAGGTTAGCTCTTCCAGAGCTTCACAGAGGAGAAACTGGTTTCCTGGAATACAGAGACAACGGTTAGAATCCAGGCTGGATTCAAAGTCACAAAGATTCACTGAGAGTCTAGGCTTAGGCGCTGACCAACTTCGAGACATCCCCTTGAGGGGAATGTCTCGAGTGGACAGCCATACCTCTTGGCCTTCAGAGTACTCGGGGGCGGGACGTCTCCTGGAGTCAGCGAAGCGTTTGTTGGTCTTAGAAGATCGGTTGAGGGTTGCGATGGTTTCTCTCCAGATCTTCTGACAGCGTCTGATGTGGTGATTGACTGACTGGACCGAAATCTCTCTCTCGTCTGCGGGGAAAAGTGGAGGTTGAAAACGGAGACTGACCTGAAAGGGAGATTGTCCAGTGGAAGCAGATTTGAGGGAGTTGTGTGCATATTCGATCCATGTAAGATATTGGCTCCAGTCGACGGGATTGTTGGATGTGAGGCAACGAAGGATTGATTCAAGCTGCTGGTTCATCCTCTCTGTTTGTCCGTTAGATTGAGGATGGTAACCTGATGTCAGAGAGGGTTTACAGCCGAGTGCAGAACAGAATGCCTTCCAAACCTGGGATATGAACTGAGGACCCCGATCCGAGAGGATCTCCTGGGGGATGCCATGTAAGCGGAAGACGTGCTTAACTAGGAGCTGGGCTGTCTGGAAGGCCGTGGGAAGTTTCCTAAGGGGGATGAGATGGCAGGCCTTCGAAAAACGGTCAACAATGGTGAGAATAGTGGACATACCTCGAGAAACAGGGAGGCCGGTGACAAGGTCAATCGCTATATGGGACCAAGGACGCGAGGGAACCGGAAGTGGCTGTAGCAGGCCTGAAGGAGGTTGATGTGAGGCTTTATTTCAGGCACATGTGGAGCAAGCCAACACATACTCCTTGACATCTCTATGGAGGGTTGGCCACCAGAAACGTCTTGAGATCAGGGCGATGGTTCTACTGACCCCCGGATGGGCGGAAAACTTGGCTGCATGCATCCATTGGATGAGACGGGACCTGACAGAAGATGGCACATAGGTTCGGTTAGCTGGACCGTTACCTGGATCGGGTTCTGTAGCCAGGGCGGAGTTGATAAGATCAGTGATCTCCCAGTTAACCACTCCTACAGTGCAGGAAGCCGGAAGGACTGGTTCAGGTGTCTCAGGATGATCGACGGAGTAAAGACGAGAGAGAGAATCGGGTTTGACATTCTTGGATCCGGGTCTGTAGGAAATGATGAGATTAAACCGTGAGAAAAAGATGGACCACCTGGATTGACGGGGATTGGCTTGCTTGGTTGACTGGATGTAAGCCAGGTTCTTGTGATCAGTCCATACAAGAACCGGGTGCTCAGCTCCCTCCAGCCAATGTCTCCATTCCTCCAGCGCCAACTTGATGGCCAACAGCTCACGGTCTCCCACATCGTAGTTCTGCTCTGCGGATGAAAGTCTACGGGAGAAAAAGGCGCATGGATGGATCTTTTGATCCGTGTCGAGTCTCTGGGATAGGACCGCTCCAACACCAGAATCTGAAGCGTCCACCTCGAGGATAAACTGTTTAGCAGGGTCAGGCTGCATTAACACTGGTGCTCTGGAAAATAAAGATTTCAATTTTTCAAAGGCAGATTGAGCCTCGGGAGTCCACTGAAAAGTGCGTTTGACAGAGGTCAGAGAAGTTAAGGGAAGGGCTGTTTGGCTATAGTTCCGGATGAACCAACGATAAAAGTTTGCAAAGCCCAGGAATCTCTGTAGCTGTTTGCGGTTCTCTGGAACTGGCCATTCCAACACGGCTTTTATCTTGTCCTCAGATGGTTTTACCTGGCCGCCCTCGAGCACAAACCCCAAAAAGGTGACTGAAGACTGATGAAATTCGCACTTCTCTGCTTTAACGAACAGCTTGTTCTCCAGTAGTCTCTGTAACACAAGGCGGACATGTCTTTTATGTTCAGAAAGGTTCCTTGAGTAGATGAGTATGTCGTCAATATAGACGAACACAAACACATTTAAAAAGTCTCTGAGGACATCGTTCACGAGGGCTTGGAAACAGGCTGAAGCATTAGTTAAACCAAAGGGCATCACCAAATATTCGAATTGACCCAAGGGAGTTTTGAAGGCTGTTTTCCATTCATCTCCATCTCGGATCCTAAGAAGATGATATGCATTCCTTAAGTCCAGTTTAGTGAAAACTGTAGCCCCTTGTACAGGTTCGAATGCTGAGGCGAGTAGAGGAAGTGGGTACTTATTCTTTATTGTGATTTGGTTCAAACCTCGGTAATCAATACATGGTCTCAGGGAACCGTCTTTGTTACCAACAAAGAAGAAACCGGCGCCCAGTGGAGAGGAAGATGGGCGGATTATTCCAGCAGCTAAGGATTCATTTATGTACTTCTCCTTGATCTCTCGTTCAGGTTTGGAAATGTTGTACAACCTGCTGCTAGGTAGTAGTGCTCCAGTTAATAGCTCAATGGCGCAGTCATATGGTCTGTGTGGAGGTAGGGACGTAGCACTGACCTTACTGAAGACAGGAGCCAGGTTATGGTACTCGGAAGGAACGGAAGAAAGGTCAGGAGAGTCCATCTCCCCCCCACCTCTAGGAGACCCCACCAAGGGGGCAGCCGAACGGAGGCATGTCTCATGGCATGTAGTAGACCATGATTCCAGGTGACGATCAGTCCAATTTATGTGTGAATTATGCTTCTCCAACCATTCGAAACCAAGCACCAGGGGAGAGCATGCAGAAGGTAAAACAAAAAATGTTATTGTCTCTCGGTGGTTACCTGACAGAAGTAGCTCGAGGGGTTGAGTTTGATGGGTAACTTGGTGAAGTCTTTTCCCGTCAATGGCAGAAACACTAAGAGATTGAGTCAGAGGAATGGTTTCTATTTGGAGTTGTTGGATGAGGTTCGAATCGATTAAGTTCCATTCACAGCCTGAATCGATGAATGCAGAAAAGGAGAGGCTCTGGTTAGCACAAAACAACGTGGCAGGAAGCAACAGTCGAGGAGATTTCTTAGTGTTAATTTGGCCCGCCAGACTCCTCAGATCCTCTGGCAGGCCCAGGCTTTTGATTTAGCCGGGCAGGAAGCGATGAAGTGTCCACTCTCACCACAGTAAATGCATAATTTGCTCAGAAAACGTCTTTGTCTTTCCTCAGGGGTGAGCCTAGTGTGTCCCACCTGCATGGGTTCGACATCTCTTTCACCAGAATGAGAGGCCTGAATAGGCACAGGGAGAGACTGGGCCTTAGGTCTCTGTATGGGCAGCTGCTCTGTGGGGGAAGAACAAACAGTCACGTTATGTGAGGCAGAGGAAAGTGTCCCCTGATTTCTTGATTTGGAACTGTTTCTGGCACGGATTCTATTATCCAATCTGATCGTCAAACGAATTAATTCTTCGAGGGTAGCAGGTTCATCGAGAGTTGCGAGCTCATCCTTAATGTGCTCATTTAATGCCATAAAATAGGCTCCCTTCAAAGTGCTTTGGTTCCATCCGGAAGCTGCCGCTTTAACCCGGAAGTTGATGGAGAATTCTGCCACAGAAGAATTTCCCTGCTTTAAATTGAAAAGAGCTCGAGAGTCAATAGGTTGATCAGTTTCTTGATTGAAAACTTGGGTAAATTCGGAGATGAAATCAGAGTAATAGCAATTAAGGCTATCGTCGGTGGCAAATCTTGCCTGAGCCCACTCCAAGGCTCTTCCTGTTAGCTGAGAAAGGATGAAGGTTATCTTTTTATAGTCCGTGGAAAAGCTGCCTGGAGAGTTCTGAAAAATCAAACGACACTGAAATAAAAATCCTTTGCAATCTTTCATGTTACCAGAAAATCTCTCTGGAAGACTTGGGCGGAACTTGGATGACGTCACTGCTGGTGACCTCGGAGGAGGAACTGGACCCGGAAATGGTTGTGGGGCCGGTGCGGCATTAGCGCCGTTCATGTAGTTAGCATAGCTTTGGATAGCTTGATTTTGCCTTTCAATGTGGGTATTTAACTCACGTAGCGCCAAGCCGTGTCCATGGATTTGGGCCGCCTGTTCCTCCAATCGACGGATGTAGTGTTCTGCTGGGCCTTGAGTTTGGCCGCAGTGTTCTGTCATGATTGGTACTCTAAGAGTGACCCAATTATGCAGAACACCACTAGACGGACAAAGGAATAAAAGTTCAACAAGTTTATTTGGTCACAAGCACACTGATTATACTGGTTCTGGTTCGGGCCTGGATACTGGTTCACCGGAGTCTGCGTGAGAGACAGTTCAGTTAGCGTAGCACGTTGGAGCTTGCTTTCTTGATTGTTACTGATTGTACCTTGAGGGTTCTTGTGATTAGCTTTGGGAGGGTTACTGTTGGATCTGGAGAGGAGTTGATCAGCAGAGTCCGTTTGCTGCTTCAGCGTCTCACTTCTAGTTTTGAGCAGACCTTGGCTTTGGGTTTTCCAGGTCTTAGTCCTGAGCTGCATGGAAGTTCACTGAGGTTCTTCAGGTTTGGCTCTGAGGGTCGGCTCGGCAGGTTAGCTCTTCCAGAGCTTCACAGAGGAGAAACTGGTTTCCTGGAAGACAGAGACAACGGTTAGAATCCAGGCTGGATTCAAAGTCACAAAGATTCACTGAGAGTCTAGGCTTACGCGCTGACCAACTGGATCAACACTGCGGCGTTGAGGCAAGGTCTGAAGACAGCTTATATTGTGGATCCTCTGACGATCTGATGGGCTGCAGCTGTGCAGGAGGCTCACTCAGAAGGATCCACGGCGGACTCTGCTGGAGAAAGGTGGAACTTCTCCAGCTCCCAACAACTATTGTGTTACTTTTGCGTTTCTCGCCCCCGTAACCCTCACCACCCAGCCCCCACTTTCTCGCTGTGTGTTTCAAAAGCCAGCTGAAAAGACTGGACGACAAAGACAAGAACCTGCTGAGAGTTTTGCATTTATTGCAACTCACCATAAATTACATCAGGGGGGAACGCGACGTGAAGTTTTTTAACAGGGCATTCAGATCTGGTGAGTATATGAAATTAATAACTGGGGATGTCTAATTCTGAAATCCTTTGTGTTTGGGTTGTTATAGATACTGCAACATCTATCTATCCATCTATCTATCTAGATGTATACTCTGTGTGTGACATAAAATATGGATCTCCATCCCTGCCACAAAGGCCATCAAATAATGTTTAAAATAAAAATACAGTAGGTTAAAAAGGCAGAGTATCCATCCATCCATCCATCCATCCATCCATCCATCCATCCATCCATCCATCCATATTTCTCCCTTCCTCCATATAGGCTATCATTTGATCGTTCACGCTCTCCATAGTTCTCCTGTGGCGTGAGAACAGGGCGACTGTTACGCGCCTTTAGTGAGCATGCGCATTTCCTGTCGCTTGCGTGGTGAATCGTGCCGCCTGCGCTGTGCGGAGATGCAGGGGAAACCGTATCTGATGGGGAAACGCAGCTCGACGTAACACCGGTTTTTCTATCTGGAAAACGCTGTTTTGCTGCTGGAGTCATCCTCACTCTCCATCTCTCTGTGTGTGCTGTACATTAACACCCGCCAGCAGAAACACCCACCTACCCAACTGACAGACGGAATTTCACTATACATCAGCCATTCTCATCCTCCCCTCTCTCATGACAAGGCACGCACGAGTCCTATCATGAAAAAAGGTTCATTGTGCAACCTGAGTAACCCACAGTAACGGGGTGTCTGCAATGGTAACTGCGTTATAGTTACAATCAAAGTAATTAGTTAGATTACTCGTTACTAAAACAAGGTAACGCCGTTACTTTCAACGCCGTTAGTCCCATCACTGTCATTTAGTAATCGTTCAATCATTTACTGGTGTGTAGAAACTCTAAAATATGCCTTTAGCTGACAGACCAACCCACCTTGATGATAAATTATATCAAAATTGTTAGCAAAATAGTAAGCATTTTGCATTTCTAATAAAGAAAACATTTTCTGTCATTATGCTCTATCCAGATCTCTTCAAGTGGAAAAGTTTCAGTTTCATGTGGTTTAATTTTAAGTCTTTTTGCTATCCGATTATTAATTGACTAATCGAAAAAAGAATTGACAGATTAATAAATTTGTAAAATAATCATTAGTTGCAGCACTAAAATTAAGCACTGCAGACACAAATCTGCTTTGAAAAAAATGTATCTTCATATGGACTCAGCTTTTACTGTGATAACTGTATGTGCTCTTTTTCATCCCTTTGACATGAAAACTGGCTCAGAGCTCTGCTTCACTTTTTCCTTCCCAAACAGAGTCTTGTAGAGCTAGTTTACCCTTTCTAAAATAGAAAGCATTTATAGATTAGTTGTTCTATGTTACTCTTGTATGTCTGCTTCTGTCTCCTTGAACCCCCAGTCAGCCTGGAGAGAAGGCTGCTCGTACTGGTTTTGTTGGAGATTTCTTCCTGTTGAAAGGAAGGTTTTTCTCTTCACTGTTGCTACATGCATGCTTAGTCATACTATTTTTAACAGTACAAGTTTACAAACAAAGCATTGTACATAGTGTGTCTTATTGCACTGAAAGGTCAATCTGTAATGGAAGCATCATTTAACAGATAACTGAGCTGCTAACCTTCTAATCTTATCATAATGCTGTAATACTTTGTTAAATCGTCCTCCAAGTATTCTCACAGTGCATATGAAGTGAGTTCTTGTGTAATAAAAGATGATTTCTAAACAATTTTTCATTTACAAAAACCATAGTTAGAGAGGGGCATAATTAGATTTTTTTTAAGCATTTGATGAAGAACAAGTTAACATCTGAACCGAACGTTGCTGATAATTAACAGTCTTCATGGGAACATCTAAAAAAATGTACCTTGTCAAGCTCAGATGTGGGTTGCTTTCGAAAGAGTTACCTTTATTTTATTCAAAAGTCTGTATATTTTGGATCTGATAAAATGTTTTTGACAAACATTTATTCTCTTATCCTGACAAAAATTGAAAAGAACCCACATTGAACCTTGATGTAATCGGTTGCCTCTCAACTTTGGAGCTGTTGATCCACAATTTACCAACCTTATATTCAGTTTACTCCCGTCGACCCATTTCCATTCTCCCTCAACTTCAGCATCAGTCAGTCCAATCCAAAACCTTCGATTGAATTTCCTCAGGAACTCCTGCTCTTCTTTGCTGTTGACGATCACCAGGTCTGCACCTCTTTCCAAGCAATCTTTTCTACTGTCATTCCAAGTGTTAATGGTAGAGGAAATGTAGTACAGGCTTGGACAAACCTTTGAAAACCGTTCTTTCGACAAACAGGCCACTACAACAAGAAGGCAGGACAAACGAAACACAAATAGTTCATTTGGTGATTTGTACTTTTGCTGTAAAATCCATAATAAATAAAACTGTCTGAGACTTAACTTTAATTCTGAAGTCTATAGTGTAGTTTCTTGTGTCACTGCATGTGTTTTAGAGGAAAGGTAAGCGCTTTGTCTATTCATATGAAGAGGTGGGTAGTGTACCCAAAATTTGTATTCAAGCAAGACGACCACTACATTGCATTTTATTCTAGTAAGAATAACAAGTAGCCATCCAAGAAATTATCAAGTTAGAGTAAAATAGAATTTAGTAAAAAGGCTACTCAAGCGCCTAGTAACTTCATTTTATCTTAGGTTTAAAATTATGAATAACAGACAGACCAAAAAGGAAAAGTTATGTTAAGATTCTGGCCTGATCACTCAGTCCATACACCAGCTCTTCTCCACCCGTCCGAAATCCGCTCTGACTGGAGTCACCTGTTTTCATCAGTAGATAAACCTCATCAGACCAGTCCTCTGTGCCAGATTATCTCGTGCCAACCTGGTAAGAATATTCCAGCATCTAAAGTAATATCTGATTGTCTACCCGTTTCTGACCCGATCTGTCTCCTGATTCCGAGCCTGCCTGTCCCCTGTCTGATTCTGCCTGCCTGATTATCCTCTCTGCTCTGCCTCTGGATCCCCGGATCTCTGAATCGTTCTGATTGGACTGCCTGCTGCCCCCTCTCTGGATCACACTTGAAAAAGCTCCTCTCAACTCCCTGCCTTCCCCTCCTGGATTACTAACTGGTAAATCTCACACAATCTGCCCGCCTGTCTGCCTGCAGCCTGTTGCTCCATTCAGATTCAGTCCCGCTCTCAGAGCAACCTGTTAAATAAACCGATCAAACGTCACTAACCTGTCTTGGTTTATTTAGATCCAGTCTCTGTTTCATTACAGATTCAGTTATTTTAAAGACTATAATAAAATATTTAATACAAACAAATGATGCAAGTGAAAAATAACCCGACAGAAGAAACACTTTTCCAAACAAATTTTCTTTTTATCATAAAATTATGAAACCAGTACCTCCAGTGCCAATGTTAAAACCTCACTACAGTATATCTTAGCTTAACCTCCAAATCTTATGGTAGGTTTAAGTAAGGTTGTGTACAAAAATGTATTACTAATTTCAATATACACATTAACTTGCTTTTTAGTAACAAAACATTTTACTCATGCCAGAGTAAAGGTATTTTAAGGTGTTATCAGTAAAACAACCCTTGAAAATAAATTTTCGTCAAAAAAATACTCAAGTAAATATAACAGAGTGAATTAAACTAATTACAACCATCCTCTGCTCACATGCAGGAACCTGCAAGTTTCATATACCGTTTAGGTATGGGCACACTGATTTACATCAGGGGTTGCTTCAAACTTTCTTAATTGGGAGCATTGTTGGTGTTGCTGCAACTTCCTGTACAGCACACAGCAGACAGAGCCTCCTACGCTACCAAGAAGTTTGTTGGCCTCACGGCTGGCCCTCCAGACACTCTACCTCGTCTCCGGCCTCACGGCCGCCCTCCATGGACTCTGCCTCGTCTCTGGCCTCATGGCCGGCCTCCAGAGAACTTCGGTGGCCCTCCGTCCACACTAGGTAGGTTGTTTTTTGTTTTGGGGCATTTTAGGGCATCTGGGATCTGCCCTTGAGTGGGGGGTACTGTCATGGTCTTGGTTCTGTTATGTTTTACTTTGCTGGATGTTTTCTAGTTTTATTGGTTTAATTCCTATTTTTTTGTATTTCCTGGGTATGTTTGAGTTCTTAGGTTTTTATTTGTTGCCCTCTGTTGCCGTCTTGTGTTGTCTCTTTTTCCGTTGCCCCTTTCTAGACTCCTCTCTTTACACCTGTTTCAAATCTGCTCGTTAGTCCTCTCTTTGTCAAGTCTCTCATAAATACTCTAGTGGTGCAGTTCCTCAGTGTTGGTTCCTCGTCATACATCTTCTTACTTTGTCTTACCTTGTCTTACCCTGGCTCCTCGTGATTGTTTTCCTCTGATATCTCCATGGTTCTGGTTTGTTTTACATTTTAAATGATGGATTTTTGGATTCCTGCCTCAGTTGCTTGTGAACATTCCATCATTTGGGGCCTCTAACCACAACCAAACCCTGACAGATTTCAGTGTAGATCTGCAAGATGGCTCTTTCCAAAAAATTAAAACCTTGGAAATCCTCCCTTTTTTAAATCTTTGATCAATGAGAGTTCTTCCGATGATGCCTGAAGCATTTTCCACCATAAAAACAACAGGGTCTTTTTTTCTTTTTTTTTTTTACATTTCCGGAATTTTTATGTACTGGATAACTGTTGTGGCTATATAACCAAGTGATTTTAATTTTTGAATTAATTCAGTTCAATTCAAAGGGAACTTAAATTTTGCAGCAGTTCAGAGAGGGTTTTCTTTAACTAGTTGTTGTAGGCGTTCACAGCTGTAAGCAGGAAAAAACGTCTGTAGCGGTCTGTCTTGCACCGGATATGGAGAAGCCTCTGACTGAAGAAACTCTGTTGTTGTTTAGCAACAAGCTCTGTGTTTTCCATAATCTTCTTCACTTTATGAAGCATTCTTCTTTGTGAGATCATCTCCAGAGCCTCTAGATGAGTTGTTTATCAGCTTGTTTAGCTTCTCCAAGTCATTTGCTCTGATGCTGTTACCCCAGCAGATGATGGCAGAAGAGATCTTACTCTCGATAACAAACCTATAGAAAATTTGTAGCATCTTGTTTGAAATGCTGCAGGACATAAACTTCCTCAGGAAGTACAGTCTGCTCTGTCCCTCCTTGAAGATGCCTGCACATTTGCGTCTCCAGTCGAGTTGTTCTTGTCAAGGTACATATATTGCTCGACCACCTCCACATCTTCTTCCATGATGCTAACAGAATTCAAATTGTTCCTCTTTCTTCTTAAATTTACAACGATCTCTGTTGTTTTGGTGAAATTCCGGATCAAATTATCTTTTCCATACCATGCCACAAAACATTCAACCAGCCCTCTGCAGTTAGCTTCTCATCCATCTTTAAGACACCCAATGACTGCAGAGCCATTTGAGTATTTATGTAGATGACAGGAGTCTGTCTGGTACTGGAAGTCAGACATAATACAGAGTAAAAAGGAATGGTGACAGTACAGTCCTCTGATTAGACAGCTGACCCTTCAGTCTAAAAAACTACGGTCTGTTTGTCAGGTAGTCTTTGATTCTGGTGATTGTTGATGCCTCCATCTAAATCTGGTGAAGTTTATCACAAAGTAAGCCCGACCTAATCATGTTAAATGCACTGGAGAAATTTGCTGATAAGATCCTATTTTAGACACATCACTAGTCATTCTGAGATCTCTGATTGTTAAATGCTGCCTTTTGAAAAATCTTTGCATCAATGGTTAGATTTGATTTGTATATTTTTAACCAGCAGTAAGAGATCTTTTTTTTTTTTGTACTTTTGACAGTTTGATGCCTGAGTAAAACTCAGAAGTTATCAGACATGAACCAACCTCCTCCAAATTTTTGAGAGACATTTGAACACTATATTCCCAGACCTTATTATTTACACCAACTGCCAACTGTCCACTAGAAACTGAACCTTCCAGTGGGTAGTGTTTCAGGTCAGTGGGAATAAACAAAGGTGCTGAGGCTTGTGATCTACTGGAGATGTGTTCATATCTAATATATCATAGAAAAAATACTTTGCTTTTATTCAATATATATACATTTCATTTCGTAGCAAAATTGTGAAATGTATTTAACTTACTTTCCAAGGACATGTTTCTATGGCCTGACTTAAAAAAATGACACCAAGTTTTACTCACATGTTTGTATATCAACATTAGCTGATCTGTTAATGTTCCCATAAACACACAGCGGCATCCTAAGCTGATGAATCTGTGCAGTATGGTTTATACATGCGTCCTCTGTGGGTTGTGAAGTCGGGTTCTGGTCAGGTTCCTCGATGGATTGTACATTGACGTTTCTGCTGGGGGACTCAGTGTCAGGTGACCTATCTGTGAAGTAAAATGCAAGTTTATTCACAAAAGTTAGACTGAAAAGGTGATACAAATGTAGGGCTGGGCAATATGAAGAAAATGTAATATCATACTATATTTTGGCTATAATCGCGAAACACAATATATATCACATGTTTAAATTACCTTAAAAAAATAGAGTGCATAAAATTGCACTGATAAAATAAAATAAAATGTAAAATAAAAAAGGGCTCTGTTGCGGATAATTACAAAAAATGCAGTATGAAAAAAGAAATTGACCTTAAACTACAAACACAAAACTTAGAATACTATCCAAAAACTAGAGTGTTATTATAGCATCCTCAACTATTTGCACTAACCTTTACATGCTGGGATTTTAAGGAATTTTAAAGAAGCACAAAAAGTTGTAAAATTGAGAAAATTTACAGAAAGTAATAGATAGCGTCTGCTTTCCCTTCATCTCTCTCTTTTGTCTCTCATAAGGGTTCACTTTTTCAAATAAGGTTGCCAACATCTTCTGCTTCACAGCTGATTTATTTAACATTTTATTTGGTGTTCGGGGAGACATGCAGAGTTTACAACACTCTTCATTTAGCAGAGGATGACTTTTTATTTGTTATTTTTTTTTATTTTACATACTGTAATCCCAGAGGGAAATTACTTTTCTGCATTTAACCCATCCCCTTGGGGAGCAATGGGCTGCCATTGTGAGGCGGCCGGAGAGCAGTTTTTTTTGGGGTTAAGGGTCTTGCTCAGGGAGCCAGAGTGGCAGTCTGTGGGAGTGGGGTATTGAACTCACAATCTCAGGATTCAAAGCCCTCTCTGAAATTCCATGATTACGGAGGCTGACTTTAAGGAGATGATGCATTCTGCTCATGCACTCTTTGTTATTTGAGAATCGAGCCAGAACTGAACCAAGCCGAGCCCTACCAAAGAACTAGTACCATGTTAGCGCTGTTCGGTTGTGTCTGGTGCGGTCTGGGTCAGTTGTGCATGCCAACTCTGTTACCATGCTCGGACCGATCTCGGCACTGTTTCAAAAGGGTAGTGTAAAAGGGGCTATTGACATATATCTGTGAAAATTCTCAGTCATCCAGGTTATGGTCAGGCTTAAAAAAATTTAATCTAGGCAACTGGATGTGAAGTTTTCTCATGCAAGAGGCTCCTTCAATTTTAACTAGTGGTGGGGAGCACTGTAGGTCTGACAAAGAGTTAGAGGGACAAAAGGTGGCTTTGGGGAATCAAAGGTGGCTTAAGAATAAATATTCTTAGCGAGTGTAAGAGTAATAGGATATTTTTATTATGATATGCAAACACATTAATACAGGTATACACAAATATATATACACATGTTGATATATATTACCACAATGGAGCCCAAATCAATTAGATGAACCATCTAAAGTCATCCCCCTTCCTTTTTCACATAGAGAACAAAAGATTCTCTGGAAAAGTACTGCAACTGCCTACTGTAAGAGACGGTCAGCTCACACTTGGACCAATCAGCTGATGGAGGGGGCTGATACTTCAACAGGAATTGCCCCCACGTCACTAATGGTTTAAAACTCAGAGTGCGAGTTCAATCTTTCTCTTTCCCATGGGTTTTCACAACCTGCAAGGAGAGGCTCTTTTCACGTGAAATGCCAGAAGAAAGCTAACTGGAAGTAGCTTTCGTTTTCATGCGTCAAAAGTCATGGATCGCAGTGTCCCATCGTGCATAGTGGCTGCGCTAACTGGGGAGACAGAAACCTCTGGAGCTGACTGCTAAGTGGAGTCCGACAGCAAAAGGGACGCCTTCTGCTGATAGTTTCCGTAAGAAAAATCTTCCTCGACTTAAGAGCACATCAAGCCCTCTGCTGTAGCATCAAACTGACTGAAAGTTTCCCGAGAGTGGATCCGGTGGTGAAGAAGATCCGCGCGCCCGAAGCCAGACCACGTGCTCCCTCAGAACCCCCGCTCCTTCACGGACCGAAGGCAACTCCAAGTAATATCACTCTTATACATTTACATGCCTTCCCCATGCACAAACCCCCCCCTGTTAATGCCGTTTTGCTAAAATGACTTCTGCTGCTGTTGTTTAATGCATTTTTAATCATTTACCATTTTTAAGCTGAATATATTAATTTTATATTGATTAATTGCACTGTTATCATCATAACTGCTGCTATTCCAACGGACATTAGTGAATGTATTAACCTCTGGCATATTTTGGACAATCTCAGAAGTTAAACGGACTCTTAGGGTTTTATTCTTTTTTTTTTTATTCTTTTTTTTGTTTTCTTTAAACTAGTCATTTAATCTACCTCGTGTTTATTTTTCTAATAGCGTGTAGTGTTTGCATAGATGTAGATTTTCTATAATCCTAAATTATTGGAATAAAGACATCATTGTTTACCTTGTAGTAGTTCTGTGTTTCATATAGCGGACTATTTATCACTCAGGTCAGATCCACCCCCTTTGGTAATAGTGCGAATAAACATAGATAAAAGGTTCTGTATTGATAATTAATAGCTCTGCTGATAACTCAGCCTGGGTCACTAGATTGGTGTGGATACTTTGATTTTAACAGCCGGTCCAGGAACCCTCCAGAGGTGAAAACCACAAACCCTTGTAAGTAACTAAATTAAAGCTGCAATTATTCAACTAAGAACACTAAATTTATTTCACCTCCGATTTTGAATAGGTTAAATATTTAACTATAACTCCAGTTTTAGTTAATTTTTTTATTTTTATGCTCACTAGTCCTTGGCCCCCTTTATTTCGGCTGACGTACAGTCTCAGGGTGCTGTATTTGGGGTGGTAACCTCCATGTATGGTTAGGAGCTTAATTGTCTGAACATCTGTGGCATGTATCTCATCCTTTGGCCAGCTTATTATTCCTGCAGGGTATCTGATTACTGGTAGAGCGAAGCTATTTATTGGCCGAGACTTATTCTTGCCATAGAGCTAGTGTTGGGAGCTGGAGAAATTCCACCTTTCTCCAGCAGAGTCCGCCGTGGATCCTCTGAGGGAGCCTCCTGCACAGCTGCAGCTCGTCAAGATCATCAGAGGATCCACTACTTAAGCTGTCTTCAGACCTTGCCTCAACGCCGCAGTGTTGTTCCAGTTGGTCAGCGCTTAAGCCTAGATCCTCAGAGTAACTCGATGACTTTTGAATCCAGCTTGGATTCTAACCCTTGTTTCTGTTTTCCAGGAAACCTGTGCCTCCTCTGTGAAAGCTCAGGAAGAGCTAACCTGCCGAGCCGACCCTCAGAGCCAAACCCGAAGAATCACAGAGAACCTCCAAGCAGCTCTGGACTAGAGCTGGGAAACCCTAAGCCAAGGTCTGTTCATATAAGACGTGAGACGCTGAAGCAGCAAACGGACTCTATTGATGAACTATTCTCCAGAACCAACAGAGAACCAACAAGAACCCTCAAGGTACAATCAGTAAACTTCAGGAAATCAAACCTCTGTTGGCAACGCTAACTGAACTGTCTCTCACGCAGACTCCGGTGAACCAGTATCCAGGCCCCGAACCTGAACCAGTATATTCTGTGTGCTTGTGCATCAATAAACTGTTAAACTTTCATCCCTGTGTCCGTCAGTGGTGTTCTGCATTCTTGGGTCGCTTTTAGTGAACCCATCATGACAGAACACTGCGGCCAAACTCAAGGCCCAGCAGATCACCTCACCCGTCGACTGGAGGAGCAGGATGCCCAAATTCAAGGACAAACCCAAACGCTCCGTGAGTTATACCGCCTTGTTGATACTCATAACCACATGCTACAGAGCTGTGCTAATTATTTGAACAGCGCTAATGCTGCACAACAACCATTTCCGGGTCCAGTCCCTCCCCCGAGGTCACCAGCAGTCACGTCATCTGAGTTCCGTCCTAGTCTCCCAGAAAGATTTTCTGGTAACATGAAAGATTGCAAAGGATTCTTATTTCAATGTCGATTGATTTTTCAGAACTCCCCTGGCAGCTTTTCCACGGATTACAAGAAAATAACTTTTATTCTCTCACAGTTAACAGGAAGAGCCTTGGAATGGGCTCAGGCTAGATTTGCCGCTGATGATAGCTTAAACTGCTACTACTCTGATTTCATCTCTGAATTTACCCAGGTATTCAACCAAGAAACTGACCAAACTATTGATTCCAGAGCTCTTTTCAACCTAAAACAGGTAAACTCTTCGGTGGCTGAATTTTTCATTAACTTCCGGGTTAAAGCGGCAGCTTCCGGATGGAACCAAAGCGCTCTAAAGGGAGCCTTTTTCATGGCGTTAAATGAGCACATTAAGGATGAGCTCGCAACCCTCGACGAACCAGCTACCCTCGAAGAGCTTATTCGCCTCTCCATTAGATTGGATAATAGAATTCGTGCCAGAAACAGCTCAAAGAAGCAGGGTACACTTTCTTCTGCCTCACATAACGTGACTGTTTGTTCTTCCTCTACAGAACAGCTGCACATTCAGAGGCCTAAGTCCCAATCTCTACCGTTGCCTATTCAGGCCTCTCATTCGAGCGAACGGGATGTCGAACCCATGCAGGTGGGACACACTAGGCTCACTCCAGAGGAGAGGCAAAGGCGTTTTCTAAGCAAACTATGTATCTACTGTGGTGAGAGTGGACGCTTCATCGCTTCTTGCCCGGCTAAATCAAAAGCCTGGGCCCGCCAGAAGATCTGAGGAGTCTGGCGGGCCAAATAAACACTAAGAAATCTCCTCGATTGTTACTTCCTGCCACGCTGTTCTGTTCTAATCAAAGCCTCTCTTTTCCTGCATTCATCGACTCAGGCTGTGAACGTAACCTAATCGATTCTAACCTCGTCCAGCAACTCCAAATTGAAACCATTCCTCTGACTCAGTCTCTCAGTGTATCCGCTATTGACGGAAAAAGACTCCATCAAGTTACACACCAAACTCAGCCCCTCGAGCTACTCCTGTCAGGTAACCACCGAGAGACTATAACATTTTTTGTTTTTCCCTCTGCATGTTCCCCGCTGGTGCTCGGTTTCGAATGGTTGGAGAAGCATAAT